TGATGTTGGATGCTGGTTGTTTGGGTGTTGACAGGTGTCTTTTATACAGGTAACGAGGTGAGGCAGGTGTATTTGATGTAGATAATTGGTTGGGATTGGGGCTGTGTCTTAAAGAAAGACTAACTGGCTTGTAGGAGCCAGAATACTTGCTGTTTGGTAGGGGGTCATATACTTGTTTTTCCTCATCAGATGGTTATCAATTTTTATAAATTCATATGATGTGATTTTCTGGAATTTTCTTTGGGATTCTGTCTTTCACTGTTAGAATGTACATATGATTAAAATTGTAGATTGTTGCATTCTTTGTAAGTGGGCAAACCTGCAAAATCAGCAAGGGGTCAAATACTTTTTTCCCCCACTGTATATACACCTGTTCATATGCCGTTGTTGGAGTGTGAAGCTCGACGCAGGTCCTAGAAGATGTGCTCCTTGGCTTGCACCTCGTCCTCTCCGTCCTGCCTCTTCTTCCTCGGACCCCGGCAGCCCTCCCTCCTCTGCTTCCTCTCGACCTCGGTCCTGTCCCGGTTTGTGCTTGGCTCTGGAGTGCAGTCCTCATCAGAGACAATAATGTTGTCACCGTGGATGCTCTAACATGCAAAACAACGTACATGTTATGAGTCTAACACGAAATTCACGTTCGTGTAGTGTAAACGAAAACGGGAATGTGTATCAGCCTGTTTTTAGCTTTGCCCAATGTTACCGCAGCTGTTAACACAGCTACCTGTTGCTAACAGTTAGCTAGCCAACTCGTTACTGAATCAAAGTCAGTCTTTGTCACTCTAAACTTATCCAATATTAACATGCTAGCTTGATAGTGAGTACTAACAACTGGGTTAGTTATTCAGTTTCACAATGATAAAGTTAGATGTTTCTTACCCCCTGATGTGAGCCGCTGCTCTCCGCTCGTCACACTGTGCTTTTCCTCCAGCAGAGTCGGTAACGCGCGTTCACGTGTTTTTGGGGCGTGGCTTTGAAAGGAGCCCAGAAGGGAGGGGGTGGGAGTTTCTCTGTTGGATACTTTCAAAAATCTGCAGTTTCTTAGTTTCTCAAACTTACCTACCCTGCCTTTAAGTCTCGGGACTGCAGAGTTTGTTAACGATGGAGGCTAAAAATGATGGAAGTAGAGTGGCATGGTAGTTTTAGTATGAAACCTAGAGACTGAATTATAAAAAAAGTGCGAAAGGGGGTCGGTGACAGAGTTGAAAAACTGACACCAGTATGGTTAAAGTTTGGTTAAGTTTAGGCAAACAAAACTACTTACAACTAAGTTAGAGAAAGGTTGTCATCATGGTTTTTAAAATGGTTTTACTATTGGTAGGAGAAGGGATGTAAATTATGATCTTGTGTTAAAGTCAGATGCTTTGCATACCCAGCACGTAGCATACCCAACCATCCACCTTGACATTCTCCCTAAGGAACATAAAGTCTACGTTCAATTTGCACATTTTTTAGCTATCTGAAAGTTGTGAGCAGAGGTTAAACTAATCATGACATTAACTGAATAATAGTGAACAACAACTGAAACAATAATTGCTATACCAATAGCCAGGTCTCAATAAATGTGTTGATCATGTTAATACAATCCACTTCACAAAAGGGCCAGGCTGAAGTTTTAGTGGAATACCAAATTCTCTTGCTGTGTCTTCAGTGTCTTTTTGTCTTTCTCTTTCTCAGCATCATTCCCAGCATAAATCCACTTTATGTCCTTTCTATTTCCACTGGAAACTATTCACGCCTCTGGCAGAAGATTGACAATTGGTCCTTAGGTATTTCCCTCTTTATTTTCATTATAAATCAAATGAGTGGGAGAGGCAAAACTCAAGGGCAACAATGTGACATTTGGGACTTAATAATTCAGGCTATAAATTAACAAATTGTACCTCTCACATTTTTATTACTCTGACTCTCTCTCAATCTATTCACAACATGTTTTACTGGTATTAAGGTGAAGAAAATTGGCCAAATCATAAAAATAAATTAAGTAAAATCCTCATTAGAGCTGTGTATGTGTGAATTATTTGAAACCTTTGATCTGTCCTCTTTCCTACATTGCATTTGTTACCTTCACTCAATAAATGCTTATTGCCCAAAGGTAAAAGCAATACTAAAATATCTTAAGGTATGAGTACTGCAATTCTCCTATTTCTCCTGCAAATTACATAATTACATGACTAATTTCCATTTGTAAACATTTTGTAGGAAACACCCTGCTACCCTGATTGCATTTTTTTTTTTATCAACATAATGAAAAAAAACATTTACAGTTTATGTATTAAAACTATTCAATACAATATTATCTTTTATTCTAATTTAATTTTGTATTTCCTGTGCTTATGTTTTTACTTGTTTCCTTGAAGAATCTTGTAGTCATGTATGTCATAAAATATGTAACGCACAGTATATCTCACATATAGCCTTAAGGCGTTTTTAAGGTGGTATAGTTATGATGTCCATTATTTCAGTGCTATTACAGGTCAAATGGAGCATAAAATCAAATCATGTATCTGTACAGTTATGCTTGGCGTTCACCTTGCACTTATACAATATATCAAGTGGCCTCACATGCTTAATACATGTGTACACTGCTACCTATTATATGTAGTCTCTCTCACATACAGCAGTGAACAGTGAGTTGCAATATGCAAATATAAATGCAAGTCACACATTGTAGCTTTCATAATGTACAAAATTCGCACAGCTATGTGTGTGTGTTTGAGTTGAGAAATGGGAGCTGGTGTGTACAGACATACAGTACATGTGGTGACAATTAAGACAATATTGCAAAATTAATTTTCTCACCACATTTCCCCATATTCAAGAATTTTAACTACTGCTACACTTGGGACATATTTAATCTGGTGTGTGAAAGTGTATCTGTAAATGTTTGTGTGTGCGCGCGCGTGCATGTGTTGCTGTGGGGTCCTCTGTCTCACGGTGCGATGGGGGAGTACAACATTCTTCATCAGATCTAGGGATCATCCCTGGATATCTGGGAGACTGTGTGTGTGTGCTTGTGTGTGTCTTACTTGTGTTTGTGTCTGTGCTCTGACCCCATTGAACCAGAGACAAACTAACATTGTGTTATGATAGAGGAAAGAAGATAATTAAAACACAATCAGCAGAGAACGAGATGTATGTGTGTGTAAAGAGAAGAGTGGAAAGACTGGAATAAAAAGTCAAGAAACAGCTAAAGATGAAAAAAACCAGGAGGAAAACAAACAATTATAATTATTATAAAATACAGCCCTACAGTACAGTATGTTTCTGGGAAGGAAGAGAAAGAAGCAGACAAGAATATGAAAAAGAGGGAGAAAAAGCCATCTCATATTTAATGCTGAAAAATATTGTTGTTTTCATAAATGACTTGAATGCTACCAGTGCACATGTAGAATGCAGACTCTGTGTGTGTGTGTGTGTGTGTGTGTGTGTGTGTGTGTGTGTGTGTGTGTGTGTTTGTGTGTGTGCCTGTGCCTGTGTCTCCCCAGAGCACATAGATGAAGATAAACACATCTTCCTTCCTTCTTCCTTGTGTTATTCCCTGGCTCTCACGACCTCCTCTTCCATGACCATTTTTCAATATATTTTTTTTTTATTATTACATTTCTGCTTTATTGGACATTATAGCTGCATATAATAAGCATAGGGATTAATAAAAGATAAGAAACAGGTTGAGATAGAAGAAGAGAAAAAGAAAGACAGAGGTGGTAACAATACAAAACTGAATGAAGCAATAAAGTAACGCATCATGGCTACAGATGAGCAGCCATTGAGCTGATAGGGAAATCAGTGGCTTGCATGTCAGAATTTCTAACATCCACAGTTCAATTGCCTCTCTTTTCTGACTGTACAGTTGTGCTATTAAAGACAGAGAAGTCAGAGAGCTCCCAACATGCTACTATGATACGATATGACTACGAAACTATGGGATCAATGCTTTGATACTCACAAGCTACTCATTTGGTATTGATTCCTTTAATATTATTCCAATAAAAATTGTATACAAAACGTAGGTGGCTGGATCACTTGCAAATGTTTTCAGTACTTCTGAATGATGTTTGCGCCAATAAACAGCCCTGACATATTAAACTGGCCCAGTGTCACATGACATTCAAATTTAGCATTTAGCTCTGATTTGGTATCTGGGATAGGTATGTGGCTCTTGAGCTGTCAAATTAGAGCCCTTCATGGGCCTCAAATCTAAGCCCTAAATCTAGCCCGGCCTGTGTCAGACAGTTTCAGAATTCTCAGCCCGAGCCCGACCGGAGCCCGTGGTTTTTTTTTTTCCTCCTCCCCCCCATACCACAGCTTACTGTTGCAGCCTATAAAATAGTTCAGTTTTGTTTTTAATGGCAGTGGTTAGACAATCCTCAAGCAGATAACAATGTTAGTTCATACGCTTATCACTAGTAAAAAGGCATTTTTGACAGGCTGAGGCAGACAGCTGCTGCTCACAAGGTGTGCAGAAAAACAAACTAGCCTACAATCTAAACAAATGATCAATAATTTAAAAAACATCGTCTTGCCTTACACCCAGGCTTTGCATCAAAAATCAAGGCTTCACCACAGAACATGATCGCCAATCACAAAGTCCAATCCCAAACAAAAAACGAGACAGCCTCCTAATACTATACAGCCAGAAGCACAGCCAATTTCAAACAGAGATCCCGCAATAATCACAGAAGGAATATCCACCAATATGCCACATTCCTATACTCTCATTCCTACTGAACAAAAGGTTTGCCATAATCACGCAACCATGTGTACTTTCATACAACGCAGCTTGCCGGCATATTGGTGGATGTTACGGCCCTTGGGCCGTGCGTGTGTGTCTGCCCAGGTGTACTGCTCCTTGTCTGTCCTCTGTAGATCCTGCCCCCCCCCCCTCCCCCGCATGCTGCAGCCGTGTGCACACACACACACCTCTTCCCAGTTGGCAATCAGCGGGAGCGCCAGAGCAAGTACAAGGTGCAGAGAGCGGGCAGACTGAGTGTGGAGAGCAGACGTGTGCAGACAGACTGCTTACCGGAGCTGGGTGAAACTACAGTGGCGTTCGTGGAGTTCCTGTGGTAGAGTGTGTCAAGTCTAAACCTCGCACTGGGGTTTAGTCTCTCGGTGGAGGGTGGTAACTATTGTTGTATTAATTTACCCTTTGTGGCAAATTGTTTTTCCATAAGCTACCTTTTTAAGTTTGCGCTTAGTTTTGGGAAGTTTTTTGTTGCACCTTTTTGAGAATCCCTTGGTTACTTAAAATCGTAACTAACCTCTTCCTTCCCTGGACTTTCCACTGGAGGTTCGTAACAATTTGGGGGCTCCTCCGGGATCTTTTTCCCAAACATTTAGGGTTATATGGAAGAAAGCTATTAGCGTTTATTGTTTGTGTTGCTGGTGTTGAAACTGTTTCCAGTGACTTTTGCGTGTGGGTTTTCACTGTCCAGTCTTTCCAGAGAAAAGGCCCTTCCCCAGCTAGTTAGAAGTGTGCAGCTAGGCTGCCCCCACGACCAGACATGTACTCCGTCGTTTCTTGGTATGGCTAGATACTACAGGTGTTTTTGTAAAAACCTCTCAGTAGTCGTCTCCCCCCTGACTAGTTCGTGTAGTCCCAGTGTCCTGTTTGTGTGGACGGATGAGTGTCGACATGCTTTTGAAGCAGGGAAATCTCTCCTCTGTTGTGCCCCAGTCCTGGCCGCACCAAACTCCTCTCTCCCCTTTAAGCTCAAGGTTGACGCGAGTGCGACAGGGGCTGGTGCTGTGCTGCTGCGGGATGGAAAAGGAGATGTGTGTCATCCAGTTAGCTACTTCTCTGTCAAGTTTAAAAAACATCAGCTAAACTACTCCACTATATAGAGGGGGAAAAAAACCCTCGCATTGCTGCTCGCTCTGCAGCATTTCGAAGTCTGTCAGTTATAGCCCCTTTCCAGTTGTTGTCTTCACAGATTATAACCCTCTGGTTTTCCTGTCCCAAATGTACAACCACAACCAACGCCTGATGAGATGGGCTCTGTTGGTGCAGGGTTACAAATTGGAGATCCGGCATAAGAAGGGAGCTGACAACGTGATAGCCGACACATTGTCACGCGGGTGAGCGGGTTCTTCATTCATCTTCTGGGGGAAGATCTGAGAATAGGTGGGAGTGTTTTGTTTAGTTTTTTTGTCTCAAGTGGTAGTAAATTGTGACCCTGTATTGGTCAAACCCCTAGTTTAATTTTATGGGGGGGGTGTTACGGCCCTTGGGTGTTACGGCCCTTGGGCTGTGCGGGTGTGTCTTCCCAGGCGTACTGCTCCTTGTCTGTCCTCTGTAGGTCCTGCCCTCCTCCTTACCCCCCTGCATGCTGCAGCCGGGAGGCTAGTATGCACACCTCTTCCCAGTTGGCAATCAGCAGGAGCACCAGAGCAAGTACAGGTGCAGAGAGCGATCAGACTGAGTGTGGAGAGCTGACGTGTGCAGACAGACAGCTTACCGGAGCTGGGTGACACTACAGTGGCGTTTATGGAATGCCTGTGGTAGTGTGTGTCAAGTCCAAGCCTCGCACTGGGGTTTTACTGTCTCGGTGGAGGGAGGGTGGTAACTATTGTTGTATTAATTTACCCTTTGTGGCAATTTGTTTTTCCATAAGCTACTTTTTTAAGTTTACTGGCATGTTGTCTAACCGTACCTTTTAAACTAGGCGCTTCCTCTTTGTTTTGGGAAGTTGTAAATAAACCCCAAACTATACTGATAAATCCGTCTCCTTGCTTTCTTCAACCTGGAATGATTTATTATTGTCCCTAACCTCCTCCTCCCCTGGACTTTCCACTGGAGATTTGTAACAGTGCAATAGGCCTAGACCTGGAAAATAGTGTGAAAGTAGCTGGTGTGTGAGTGTGCGCGCACGTGTGCAAGCAGATTGTCTCACGAGTGTCAATGTGATGGGTTATAAATCGTTTCTATCTTTGTTTTACTACTTCCAGCTTCTTATTTGTTATTTTAATTAATGGATGTCTAAAGCATATAAAGGAGAAGCCAAATACAGGCCCAATGTCCGAACGACGTGTAAGCTATGACATGAAAACTGTCCTGAACCCTTTCGCTTTAGTCATTTTCAAGTATATTTTTAAAATTAAATCTCAGCTGACATTAATTGTAACAAATCAGCTTTGAATTGCAGTGTACTGAATCATTACAAACATAGCCTATCTGTTTTTTTTCCTGTTTATTTTTTATTTTTTTGGTTTGAAGACCATGTGTCTGAATGTATAGTAGGGACAGACTAGATGCAAAGAAAAAAATAACACTATGATTGGAGTAACATTTTGTAATGGTACCACCACTAATTCTATGATCCTCCGCCACCCTAGCCCCTCTCTTCCCTCTTTCTTTCCTCCTTTGGAGATAGATGGGGCATTTGGAATGAAGCATATTAAAGTGAAAAGATGAGACAGATTGGATAGACGGAGGGGAATAAGGGAAGTGAGGTGTTAAAGAAGGACCAGCAGGGACATACGATAGTGAGGGAAGGTATAGTTGTGAAAAATTTAATCAAAGTATAGAGAAACTAGATGGCTAAGAAAAAAGGCACATGATACATTTATATATTAATGGAGTAATGGTTAGAGAAAAATACTTTAAAAAAGACATAACATTTGTGCAGCAGCGTTCATGAGAGAGGGAGCGAGCGAGGTGCTGCATGAACATATGCATTGCGTACAGGTCTGCAATCAAATACGATTCAACAAAACACACTGGTTAACCCTTTAGCTTTTGTACATGCAAAGCTCTGTGGTCAAGCTAGCAATAATTAATATGCGACGTCTGGTTAGACTCAAAATAAAACGCATGGGTAACATTGTAAAATGGTCGCAGTTTGGTTAGGTTTAGGCAAAGATCATGGTTTAGGTTAGTTAAGTTAAGATACTTAAGTTACGTAGCTTTAAAAGATTAAAGAGGTCAAATTACGCTCATTTTCAGGTTTTTATTTAGGGGTTGTACATGGTTTCATTTTCAAAAAACACCATATTTTTGTCATACTGCACATTGCTGCAGCCCCTCCTCGTAGCTCCTATGGAGATACATCTTGTCTCTACATGATCTTTGTTGAGAGTTGCACATGTGCATTTTCTAGTTAAGGACTACTAGCCCATCAGAAGCAGAGAAGGGCGGGTTGTGAGAAGCCGCTAAACACGGCTTTGGTTCAGCAAATCTATTACATGCACAAAAGATATATAACTGAATAAAGGGGAGGGGGAAAAAGCCAAAAAGCATCATATGACCTTTAAAAGAAGAATCAAATGTTGACTAATTGTTTTACATGGGAAACAAACATTGGCCACCTGGGGAAAGTCCAGTGTTTGAGCCATCCAACCACCCTGACCTACATGGACTTTTGAGTTATTTACGCTAGGTCTACTTAAGTAGTGCTGAACTGTTAACGCTAAAGGGGTACCCAGTGCATTAAAGTGACACCAAGGGTTAACCAAGCGTTCATATGTGACGACCTCTAGTGAACCAGCCAGTGTTGGTTTTATTATTTTATACTAAAAAGGAATAATCCAGAATCTCTCTTCGTCTCTCCCTGAGAGAAAGGGGGCGGGGTTGAAATATTAACCCTCAACAGACAACTGAAGTACCCAAAAGGAGGGGTCAAAGGTTAGCTCCACTCCCAAGTGCTGTTTGGGCAGTTTCGGACGTAAAACCTACCACCTCCAGTGAAGCTGAGATAACAGATTCTATGCATGACTGTTAAAATGACAATATTAACCTTGTCCAGACACTAACCTCATCCTGAACTAGACTATCAGGACCTTTTTGGACAGGGGTTGTTACAGCCATTAAGGAAATGTGGTCAATCTTTTGGATTATTTCATATTCATCAGTTATATTCATTTTCCTTTACGTGTTTCACTTGGTAATATTTTATGTTTGTCTCAGACAGATGTCATTAGTGTGTATTTAGCAAATGAACGTGTAGTTGTGCTCCATTAGTATGTCCTGTTAAGTCAGAGATATTAAAGTGCTGTAAAATGCAGCTAAGTGTAGAAAAAATGAGGTGAGAGCACCTATTGGCACGTGCTAAAAAAGGGCAGCCAAGCAGGACATGGAGCAACAGTTTTCTGACCGTCGCGTCATAGCAATTGGAAATTTAGAAGTTACCTGTGTTGAAGGTACGTTTGATAGAACACATAGGATTTAGGACTCTGCTGGAGACATTTATTTTGTAACTTTAGTCCCTTTTTTTGTGTCAAATAAAACTATTTTGAAGCATTTCGAAGTCTATGTGAGTTATAGCCTGTTTCCAGTTGTTGTCTTCACAGATCATAACCCTCTGGTTTTCCTGTCCCAAATGTACAACCACAACCAACGCCTGATGAGATGATCATAAAACTCTAAACTAAACTAAGATATTTTTCTTCTTACATCTGCCTCCTTGCCTTGCTGGATTGTACAGTTTTGCCCTCTTTGGAAAGCATGAGTCAGAAACTTTATGTCCTGCGATAGTGGCAAAAGAAGTTTTAAAAGTTGCCACTACAGGGGTCATAAAACTCTAAACTGAACCCCCCACACAGACACTCCCCAAGACCAGGGTAACCATGGTAATGACATTCCTCTTTCAGATTACCTCAGACATCAACAATGAATGAACAAGAATATTGTCTCCTTATAAACTTGCCTCATTACCCTATTTAGCTAAATAATCTTTAACAGTTATTTAGTAGTTTTCAATTCCACTTTTGAGTAGTTTATTACCATGCTATTAGTAGAAATTATGTTGCAAAGGAGGAACCATAAATAAGTTAATTTTGCAGTGCTCTTAATCTTCATCAATGCTCACCGACATTCCGGCATTTAATTTATGTTGTAACTAATGTTGTTTCAAGCACCTTTATATACTTTCTTTATAAATGATATGGTACAGAAATATTGTCATGTGTTAAATAACCAACTTTCCTAGCTCCTGACCCAAGGATTCAGTTAACTTTACGTAGATGGTTAGAGGATTCCCAGGTCCTCTCATGGAACCAGTGTCCCCCCCAGAGGACAAAAGATGTATTGCATGCAATTGTTAACTGCCTCTCTTTATGCCTAATTTACATTACTCTGTGTTTTATTGTTTGTAATCTGATGCCATGTTCTTACAACTTTCTTATATTTTTTCTAAGTAAGAATGTTTAACAATCAGTATTCTCCTGGAAGTTAAGTTTAGTTAAGATGCTCCAATGAAATGTTTTTAACTGATAACTTTCATAATTGTTATGGACGATTAACAATAACTTTCCTTTTACTTTTATCAAATGCTTAAAATTAAGATTTTTACAAGAGTTGATTGTGGAAAGGTATTTGATTAAAAACGCGCAAATAAACTTTAAGAACATATTAAAGTTAGGACACAGAAGTCTCGGGGGAAACAAAGCCCTCCCCCAGGGAACACGCTCCAAACAACAAAAACACTTCACCATGCGTTGCTTGTCATTCCGCTTCTCTTCCCTCTCTGCTCTCGGCACACTTACGGAGCGTGCTCCGTGTCCAAGCAACGGCAACGCCCAAGATTTCGGCCCGGCATTGTCCGTGAAATTTTCTTTGTCTTCCAGCAATGTACTTAACTATATTCACTCGAGCCTTCGTTGAATTTAGTTTCTTTTGTTTTGTTTGTTAAGAGTTATCAGATCATTTAATGCACGGAACTTTGAATTCAGGAACAACCAAATTCTCTTTTTAAGCGTTATTTCAGTCGAATTAACTTCTGCTGCTCCCACCAAAGTTCGGACCCAGCCAAGTGGGTTAATTACACTAGCTGTAACACAGAGGACATCAAACAACAACCAAGCCTGGGCTGACCGGCCGTTACTGCGAGCGTTTTTCCGGAAACCACCAGTCAGCCAAAGCACTCCGGATATTCCATCGGCCCAAACCCGCTTGAGAAGCCGTGTGGCGTGCCAAGCCACGGAGGCCCTGACCACACTAACGAGCTAAGCAGACAGTGAGCCTTTGCCACACGGTGGAAAAACTGACAATACGCAGTAAGGCTAAAACAAACTACAGAACAGGATAATATTGAATTGGATGGTGCGATACAGCTCAAAAGTCATCATTGTCAAGGTTTGTTATTGGTTAGTTCAAACCTGCGTGTAAATTCACGATATGACTTTATGTAAAAGCTTGGGCTGACTAATTTCTTATTTATATTTATATTATAATATATTTCTTCTTCTTTTTTCCTCCTCTTTATATCCTTTGGTTAAAAAGCAGCTTGCTGAATCCAGATACTGATATTTGATTTATAGGCCTTCAAATTAAAACGTTTAAAAATTGAGGTGTCTGGTGCAGTTAAAATGATAATGCTGGACGTCTGGAGAGGCTGTGCTCTAATTTATCCTTCTCTATTTCTTTCTTTCTTTCTTAAACACACATACACTATATTGCCAAAAGTTTTGGGTCGCCTGCCTTTACATGCACATGTAGGTTAATGACATCACACTTATAGGGAGTTGGCCCACCCTTTGCAGCTATAATAGCTTCAACTCTTCTAGGAAGACTGTCCACAAGCTTTAGGAGTGTGTTCATGGAAGCGCATTTGTGAGGTCAGGCACAGATGTTGGCCATGAAAACCCATTCCAGGAAGCTATCTACACACTGTCCTTGAGCTAATCCGAAGGCCACATGACGTTTGGAGGTCTGTAGCTATTGAATGTGCAGAAAGTTGCCGACTTCTGCGCACTGTGCGCCTCAGCATGCACTGACCCCGCTC